TACCACATTAACAAAAAAAAACCCATATGATTATCTCAATAGATGCTGAAAAAACATTTGATGAAATTCAACATCCATTCATGATAAAATGAAGAAAGAGAAATCAAGAAAACAATTCATTTGCAATTGCATCAAAAAGAATAAAATATCTAGGAATAAACTTAACCAAGAAGGTGAAAGATCTGTACTCTAAAAACTATAAAACACTGATGAGAAAAATTAAAGAAGATACAGGTAATTGGAAATCTATCCCAGGCTCTGGGTAGAAAGAAGTTAATATTGCCAAAATGGCCATCATGCCAAAAGCAATTTACAGATTCAATGCAATCCCTATCAAATTACCAACATCATTTTTGAATGACCTAGAACAAATAATTCTCAAACTTATATGGGACCACATAAGACCCCCAAATAGCTAAATCAATCCTGAGAAAGAAGGACAAAGCTGGGGGATTATGCCCCCTGACTTCAAACTCTACTACAAAGCTACAGTAATCAAAATGTTTGGTACTGGCAGAAGAACAGACCTAGAGAGCAATGGAACAGAATAGAGAGCCCAGATATAAACCCACACATATATGGTCAATTAATACACAATAAAGGAGCCATGAATATACTGTGGGGAAGACAGCCTCTTCAATAACTCTTGTTGGGAAAACTGGACAGCTATATTGAAGAGAATGAAACTGGATTGCTGCCTAACTCCTTACATAAAAGTAAAGTGGAAATGGATCAAAGACCTGAATGTAAGACATGAAACCATAAAACTCTTAGAAGAAAACATAGGCAAAAATCTCTTGAACATAACTATGAGCAATTTTTTTCTGAATACATCTCCTCAGTCATGGAAACAAAATCATAAATGAACAAGTGGGACTACATCAAACTAAAAAGTGTGTCTGTACAAGGAAAGGACACTATCAGCAGAACTAAAGGCATCCTACAGTATGGTAGAATATAGTTGCAAATGACTCATCTGATAATGGTTAATATCCAAAATATATAAATAACATATACTTTCAACACCCAAAAACAAATAACCTGGTTGAAAATGGACAGAGAACCGGAACAGACATTTCTCCAAAGAAGAAATACAAATGGCCAACAGGCACATGAAAAGATGCTCCACTTTGCTAATCATCAGGGAAATGCAAATCAAAACTGCAATTAAATGTCACCTCATAACAGTTAGAGTAGCCACTGTCCAAAAAACAAATTTTGTCAAGGATGCAGAGAAATGGGAACACTCCTACCCTTTTGTTGGGAATGTAAATTGGTTCAACTGCTCTGGAAAGCAGTATGGTGGTTCCTCAAAAAAGTAAACATAGATATACCATTTGATTCAGTAATCCCACTTCTAGGAATTTACCTAAGGAAAACAAAATCCATGATTTGAAAAGATAAATGCACCCCTCTGTATAATGCCACACTATTAGCAATAGTCAAGATATGGAAACAATCTAAGTGTCCATCTGTAGGTGAATGGATAAAGAAAAAGTGGTACATATATGTGAAATATTATTTGGCCATAAAAAAGAAAGAAAACCTACCTTTTGTGATAATACGGATGGACCTAGAGGGTATTATGCTAAGTAGTATAAGCCAGGTGGAGAAATACAAATTCCATATGATTTCACTTATTTGTGAACATCTAAAATCAAAACAAAGAAAAATGAATAAAGTATCAGTAGACTTGCAGATGCTCAAAAATGATGTAGTTACCGTGAGAAAGAGGCTGGGAAGGGTCGGTGGGGAGGAGGCTGGTGATAAAGAGGCACAAAAATTCTCTTTCATTATGTAAGTTGGTTATGGGGATGGTAGTACTGTATGAAGAATATAGCCAGTGATTCTGTAACATCTTCCTATGTTGACAGATGATAACTGCACTAGTTGGGGTGAGGATTTAATGTGGGTAACTGGTAAACCACTGTGTTGTATACTTTGAACTAATATAAGGTTGTTTATCAACTATACTTCAATTAAAAAAATATCTAAGTGTAAATATATGTGATATGTATAAATTTAAAAAATACTATTTGGTAAATAAAAAAATGAATCAAACAATGAACTGGGAAAAGCATTTGCAACATATTGGTAGAGATATAATTAACATCATATGAAGATCTCTTACAAATTAATTAAAGGAAGTAAGCCAATCAATGGTATAGTAGATAAGAGACATGAATTAGTAATTTGTGAAAAGAAAATAAAAATAGCACATAAACCTCTGAAAACTTGAGAACACTCACTAATGGTCAAGGAAACTTAAGTGAATTCATTCATAACACATCAGTGATTTTTTTTTTATTCTGGGTGTCGCCATATCCAGGGTTGAGAGGTGGTAATTTGTAGCCTTTGGGTTGGTAGAGGCAGAGGTTGGATTGGGAAAAATGGGCAGTTTTACCACATGACATCTCATATCATCTAAGATCTCTTTCTTATCTATTATCTTGTGTCTGGTCACAGAGAAATGATAGGAGCAATTTCTTGGAAATATACACAGGTCAAAAGAAATGGGGAAAATTAATGGTGCTTTTTTTCTTCTATATGACCTGGTATATGGTAGATATCTGGATACAGAGCTATTTAGTAAAATTGTCACGTAAACCTGAGGTTAGTGATGTTATAAGACCTCTCATGAGATGCACTGGCATAAAATGTAAGTGGCTTAATGCCAGAAAGAGAATTGGCTGGATAAATAGAGAACAAACATTTATTGAGCATATATGCTGTATGGGCAGGGACTCTGCTAAAACTCTCACATGTTACTTTTTGTAATGTTCACAACAGTCCTGAGAGGTAGGCATTGTCATCCTTTTTTTAAAAAAAAATTGGGAAATTGAGGCTCAGAGAGATAACCACTTGCTCTAAATCTGAGAGTAGGAGAGAGAGAAGAGCTCGGATTATAATCCCTGGGTACGTTAAACTCAACCCATGGCTAGAGAGATGAACAGAGTAGAAACCCAAGTTTACATTTAGCTTTAGATTATTCTTCAAGTCCTCTGTTCTTCCAGGTTTAAAAAATAATCCTGATACTGTTTTAAGAAAAGAAAAATTATGTTTCAATATGTACTTTTTGACTGTAGCTAATGATTTTTTAAATCACCTGGCAAAGAGACACCAGCTTTGAGCAGCAGGAACAATTATCTCCTGCTCCCAGCAATAGCTCTGCAAGCAGAAATGTTTGCTGAGCAAAAAGTTTTCTGATTTGAAACAAGAATCCACAGTTCTTTCCAAGACTAACAAAGATTCTATATGATAAGTAAATGTACTTTGAAAATTTTTTTGACTTTGAAAATGGAATACTTTAAACTTTCATATTTTATCTTGAAAAGCAGTTAACAGTTTTGAGAATGTTCTCCATCTATTACAGCATCTAGTGGTTGCACTGCCCGTATTGAGCTGCAATCTTATTGAATTCTGATAGAGAATTTTTATGTTGGAGAAGATTCTTCATTACTATGATAAAAGGCTAGCTCAAAAATCCCAGTGAATAATACAGTCATTGGGACCTTAATGGCAAAGAGAAAGATGTTTTCGAGGAATCTTAAAGTCTTTGATGCAAGTAAATATGACCCAGGAAGACCTTATATATAGCTTTTTTTTTCTTGGAGTCTTTGCTCAGCCAATAGGCCACACATCTCCTTTTCTGATAACTGCCATGTTTCAGTAACAAAAAGTTCTAACATGTGCCTCGGCCACTACAATCTTCCTGTGTGACTGTATTTCCATGTGGTTTATGGAACCAAGAGTTGACATGTGACCCCCAAAAGGGTCAGGTATATTCTCCCAATCTTAAATCCTGATTTGAATTATAGACACTAATCATATTCTGCTAGTCAGTCACCTATGAGAGGCATATGAACTGGAGGTACACGATGGCCATCGCTGACCACACACGCACAGAGAAAAAACAGTTGTAGAAAGAAAAGAGAAAGATGACAAGTACACAGTGTATGTGGTGAGGCATGATGTCCTCGAGCCAGGGACTGAGGAAGTTGAGGACTTGATTTTTTTTGACAGGTTTCTATTTCCAAGTTTTAATCTCCTCTGTTTCCCTTCTTTGGGTCCCATGGAATATCCCTGTCTCCTTTTGATAAATTCCACCTTTCCTATTTTTCCTGTTTAAGCCCATTTGTGTAGGTTTTTGTTTGTTTGTTTTGTTAATTGTAACAAAAGAGACTTGATTAAAACCCCAGGCTGTCACCCCACTGAGACTGCAAAGGCCATACCACGTGTTACACTGTTCTAGAAAGTGCCTCAACCAGGAAGTTTAGTCTCCAACTCCAAGGCAGCAAAATTGAACGCTGTGAGCCCTGGGCATGCAGAGGCTAAGATGCAGAGAGCAAATAAAGCTGGAGTCCAAAGGGAAGAATGCCAGGGAATTTCTGAGGTGGCTTATTTCCCAGGGTTGTTGTGAAGTCAGGAAGACAATAATACATAAAAATGCTTGCTTTATTGTAGAGGGTGAGATGGTTTAGTGGTTTAGGGCACAGATTCTACAAGCAAACTCCCTGAGTTTAAATCTTGGCTCTGCTGCCTTCTGGCTGGGTGACCTTGGGTAAGTTCAACTTTGTCTCAGTTCCTTTGATCTGTAAACTGGAAATGATAAAAGATAATTCCTACCTCATAGGCTTATTTTGTTGATTAAATGAGTTAGTATTTGTAAAGTGCTTAGGATGGCTCCTGGGACTTGTTAAGGGCTGGTAAGTTTATGTAACTGTTTGTTATTATTAGCATTTATGTAAATCTACTGTTGGCTGTCACTGTCTCACAGACATTGTGATACTTGCTTTATAAATAACTATGGCATTCTTCACTGTAATTTCTAGAGCACACCATATGGGATAAAAATTTCCCTTGAGCTAAGGTTTTATAGTACTGAAAGATAAAAAGCACTTATTAAACTCTTATTTTATGCCAGGCCCTGTATAAGCACAATTTAGTTTAGGCAGCACTTACAAACCTGTGCTTTATTTATTTTTATTTCCATATTCCAGATAAGGACACTAAGGAGGACAAAGGTTGAATACCTTGGTCGGGATCTCAGAGGGGAGAGATGGCGGAGGCCATTCAGGTCTAAACCCAAAACTGACTGACTGTAAGTTGGCAAGCCACAGCTTTCATCTCAATGCACAGCCATATGTCACACAACAAATCTTTACATGGGTCCTTTGCATTCTCAAAGTCAAAGGCAACTTTCTCCTGTAAGGATTTATCTAACTAAGCCCACTCCGCAGCTGGCCTCTCTTTTCTCTCCTTTAACTGGGAATGAGCCAAAAAAAAAAAAGGGAATAAAATGATTGTAAAATACCAAGGCGGTGTGGCTGAGCATGAAAGCAGATTGTGGCGATTTGGGAGTATCCAGGTGTTGCTGAAGACGTAAGGCAGACTTGGGAGCGCTGAAGAGTTTCCCAAACTTTTGCTACAACTGAACAGCTTTTTATAATTGCTACAGAGGCTTATCTGATTAAGAGAGATGCTGTGGGAGTTGGGAAGACATGTAACAACCATCTTTCAGATTCTCTAGAACTGAACAATCTGCAGGTCTCGCAATTCATGATGCAAAACATAACTATGTTCATGATGGAAAACAAATTTTGGTTGATACAGAAGCATTTTTATAATTTTACAGACATGGATCAGTTGATCCTAGAACGTTTTTCTCTGTAATATTATACCCTGTGTGTTACAGCTTTATCATTTATACTTAAAGCAGATTTGAGGAGTCTCCCATGAACCCTTTGCATCTCCTTTTGTGCGAAGAATGGTGCTCCATCTCCAGTTGAGGTCCAGTGGTTCAGCTGATCAACCAAGTTAAGTAGTGACATCAAAGGATAGCTTTGGGATTTTTTTCATGTTTTTCATCACTTCTCTTAACCTGTTGCCCGGGAAAGCATATACTCTAAGGGAAAACAGTATGCTTTCTCTGAAAGTGGAGCTTCTAATCAATTTTCCGCTCAGATGGTATGAGCTGGCTCCCAGAAAACAAAAACAAAATAAAAGCAACACTGTTGTGTAGTGTTTGCTGAGCTTTCTCTTGTGAATACTCCCATTGTGGCTCATTTCAAGGCTGGCTATATTTAACAACTGGATAGCAAAATTTCTGGCTAGCAAAATCCCCAAAATGAGCTGGCTCCCGTGCATCTCTGACCCTTCTAAGCCCTGGCTAAGTAGTAATTCTGGAGCTAATATCACCAAAGACACCAAAGATGAAGGCAGGACATTCTCTCTTCTAAGATATTTGGACAATCATGGGATGTAGCCCCAGAACTGGTTTATCCCAGGCCAACAGACTTTGTTTCTACTTATTTTTACCCCAGCTTCATTGAGGTATAATTGGCAAATAAAATTGTAATGTGTTTAAAGTATACAATGTGGTGGAGTGATATATATTGGGAAAGGACTTCCTCCATTGACCTAATTAACATATCTATAGCCTCACATATTTATACTTTTTTTGGTAAGAATATTCAAGTTCTATTCTCAAATTTCCATTATACAGTATTTTATTATCAACTACAGTCTGGTGCTGTAAGGTAGGTCCTCAAACCTCATTCATCTTACAGCTAAAAATCTGTATCCTTTAACCAACCTCTCTCCATTTCCTTTGCTCTCCCCAGTCTAGCTCCTTTCACTTAGCATAGTGCCCTCCAGGCTCATCCGTGTTTTTCCAAATAGCGTGATTTCCTTCTTTGTTAAGACTGATAATAATTGATTATATATATGTAATATATATTACATTGCTTTCTCCTTCATCTGTTAATGTATGCTCGGCTTGTTTTTATGCCTTGGTTACTGAGCACCTTGGTTACTGTGAATAATGCTACAGTGAACATAGTAGTGTGAGTATCTCTCTAAGACAGTCATTTCATTTCCTTTAGATATATACCCAGTAGGTGGATTGAAGGATCATATGGTAGTCCTATTTTTAATTTCTTGAGAAGCTTACATACTGTATTTCTTTTGCCTGTACCAGTTTACATTCCTGCTAATAGTATTTAAGTGTTCCCTTTCTCCACATCCTCATCAACATTTATTACCCATCATCTTTCCTGTAATGGACATAGTGCCATACGTGAAGTGATAGCTCATTGTGGTTTTGACTTGCATTTCCCTGATTAGTTTTGTTGAGCACCTTTACGTGTACCTCCTGGCCATTGATATGTCTTCTTTGGCAGAGTGTCTATTAAGATCCTTTGCCTAATTTTTTTATCGGGCTATTTGTGTTTCTGCTATTGAGTTATATGAGTTCTTTGAATAGTTTGAATATTAACCCCTATTAGATATGTGATTTATAAATATTTTTGCCCATCACAGGATGGATTTTCATTTTGTTGATAGTTTCTTTTGTTTTGCAGAAGTTTTTTAGTTTGATGTAGAAGTTTTTTAGTTATTTTTGCTTTTGTTACCTTGGCTTTTGGTGTTAAATGCAAACAATAATTGCCAAGACCAATATTAAGGAAATTTTCCCTTGTTTTCTTCTAGGAGTTTTATGGTTTCAAGGAAGTCTTCTTAGACATCTTATGTTCAAGTCTTTAATCCATTTTGAATTGATATGTTAGTGTGATATAAGATAGAAGTCCATTCTTTTGTGTGTGGCTTGTCTGGTTTTCCCAGCACCATTTTTTAAAGAGACTATCCCTTCCCCATTGCATATCATTGGTACCTTTTCCAAAAATTAATTGACCTTATATGCATGGGTTTATTTTTACTATTTTGTATTTCTGGAGAAAAAAATCCGAATTGTGTAATAGAACAGATTAGTCAATATGTGGCTTCTTTCCCTCACCTTTGTCCCTACCCTCAGACTGGATAGGTTAGAAGTACCCATCACATTTTGGGAGGAAAAGCTTTATTTTTGTATTCAACAAATATTGATTGAGTTCTTTCATGTAACATACATGGGACTAGACACTGGATATGAAGTTGTTTGCCAGGAGACCAGGAAATGGGTGCACTCAATGTGTTCCTGAATCCTAGTCTCTACATGCTGACTCCTGTAACCATGACAGAGAGATCTATTTCCCTGCATATCTATTTCCCTTTCTGATCTCTATTTCCAGTCCAGCTTCTTCATATTGCCTCCTGCTTGCCCATATCTTTTGCTTCTCATTCAACAAGTACTTATTGAGCACCTACTGTGAGTTAGGTAGACTCCAAGGTGCTTGAAATGCATCAGTGGAAAAAATAAAAATTCCATATATTCTACTGGTGATAGATTCTGCCAGCTCATCAAGGTATCATTAAATACTTAGTTTCCTCAAAATCCCATGTTATTTCTAACTCGTTGTCTTTCCCTGATAAACCCTCCCACTCCCTTGCCTGGTAAACACCTAATAATCCTTCAGGACTCATGTAAATGGCTTTTCTTCTTAACTGCAGTCCCACTTAATTTCCTGCCTCCAAAGCTAATGTCTCTTTTGTTTGTACTCCTATAGTATAATCACATTTCCTTATTTTTCCACTTTAAATGGTGAGCTCCATGTGGAAAGAGGTGATTGTTGTTTACATGTTAACCTACTATAGACACTTATTTAGGTGTAACTGACATAAGGGACAGAGAGAATGTCCAATATTCCAGGTATCTATTTAGGCAATTTGTAATATAAATGATTTAAGAATATACTGCTTTAAAACATTCTTGCTTATGTTTAACTTCATCTAGGAATGCTTTAGAAGAATATTAATTACACTTGAATTTAGAGAGTATCTGAAAAATGTGGGAGTGTGGGTTAAATCCTTCATTCTAATAAGAAACCTTAAGGGATTTGCATTTGTTGAACTTGAAACAAAAGAATAAACAGGGAAGACATAGAGTAGGTGGTAATCCTAAAGTATCCATGGAATGCATTCATTTAGTAACCATTTGTTCCCATCCTTCCTGGACTCGATTACATGGTGTCCTTTCCTTATTCAGAATGTTCAGGACAAGGTGGTATTCATCTCTGCAGTCCCAGCACCTAGAATGGTGCTGGCACTCAATGAGTACTTGATGAATAAGAGATACATTAGTCAAACAACATGTTTAATAGGTATTTATTAAATCAACCGGCTATTTGAACAAATATTGCAATGTTTTATTATCTAGACACTACCACAGGCATTACAAACTGTTGCTGCAACTATAGTCAATTATTAAGCAAATTTCAAGTGCCAAAGAAAATGAGCTGCTGTAGAGGAAATATGCTTACTAAATGAAATATGAAATGAGAGGCTAGGTTTTACTTCATATTTAAGAAAACCTTGACTATTATGAGGAGACATAATTTTTGTTGGACTAAATTTTTCAATATAAAAACAAAAAGTTTATTGTCCAATAAAATATTTTTAAAAACAGCTTGGTTTTGTATCAAATGGAAAACCTACCTCTGTAAAATATGGTTTCCACTAACCAAGTTAGTGCATTCTAACAAATGTAGTGCCAAGTGTCAGCTCATGTGATGTAAAGATTAATGAAACAGTTCCTTCCCTCCAAAGAGAGTTTTAGAATAATGCAGTCACACCTAGGGAAAGGTATGGTATAATTAAAATATAGTTGAATGAGGAGAAGGAGAAAAGATGGCAGTGTGAGTAGGGTGGCAGAAATCTCCTTCCAAAACCACATATATTTTGGAAATACAGTGACTACAACTGTTCCTAAAAGAGTGACCAGAAGATACAGTACACCAGCCAGGCTACATCTGCAAGAACCCAACATTTCATGGAAAAGGGTAAGATACAAATCTGTGACCTGGCAGGACACAAGCACTCCCTCAACTCCAGCTCACTGGTGGAAGGAGGAGTCAGAGTGGGGAGGGTGTGGAAGCGCAGGACTGCTAAATAACCAGCCCTAGTAATCTGCCCCAGGAACACAGCCACACATTGCATGGTGCTCTGGATATTGG